ATTTCGTGCATCAATCAACAAGGCAATATCTTCCACAATTGGCAAGGGTTTCATGAAAAAAAGATTGAAAAATATATGATTAAAATCAAATATTGAAATCATCAATTCATGGACTTTTGGGCTTTGTTTTGACCTAGAAAGCTTCACATACATATGCACAAGGAAACCTAATTGAGACACACACGAAAAAGCTGCTGAAAGCACATATTCACTTTGCAAATTTTTCATAAAAACTCAAAAACTGTTTTCTGATTTACAGTCCAATTCAGGGAAGATTGTTGATTCCAAACCCTTGCTGAGACTTCTTTGAACGTGTTGCAACCATTTTCCAGTCCCCATACTCAAAGAAACGGTAAAATATGGTTATGGTTTGAACGAATATGTTGATAATCGAAACATGATTTCCATGCATTATTCATATATTTTGATTGTTGATTTACACTAATAATGATCTTCTGAAGCGATTGGTAGCGTTTAATTGGACTAACACTGCTTGTATCAAAATCTGCCATTGATGAAACCTAGGGTTTCAGAACTTCAAAATTAGGGCTTCTCATATAAGGTAAAATTAGACCACCAAACCTGCATGGACACATTCGTGGCAACAAGACGAATCCAATGATGCCCTCGCGCCCTTTTTATATTTATTCCTCTTCTAATCGCTATTTTTACAGGTTTCAGTTTGTGGGGGTTTAAAACCCCCGCTACTTGCTTTATGTTTGCAGAGAAAACAAAGACGAAGGCCGGCGTGTCATCTTATGGTTGGACAGTTCAAATATCCAGCGCGCTTTTTGTTTTATACCACTAATGTTACTTCTTTTTATATAATCATTGTTTTCCACTAACATTACAAACGCGTTGCTTGGTTCAGATGGTGGATGACACGCCTTGTAACCACTAGGACCTGGGTTCGATTCCCAGGTCCCCCCACATAAATTCATATTTTTTGCTTTAATGTGTTCCCATGCAGCGTTTACTCAAAGGACTACCCTACGTCCTAACATGCTGGCTTGCCAAGTGCCCCCTGATGTTCCATCCAATGGCCAGATAATGCAGTCCATGGTACACGCTAGTCAACCCACGTGCACTCAACCAGGGAAGTCAAACAAGGCCTTGTGTGCTTGGGCCTGAATTCCAAAATTACTTCAAAAAACCTCCCTTTGGGGCCTGACACCCCTTGGTTTGCTTCTTTTAATTTTATTTTCTTTTCTAATTATAATTCTTTTTAATTCTTTTTAATTGTTTTATCAATTCACAAATAATTAATTTTCATAATAAAAAATCAGAAACCTAAATATGTTTTATATTTAATTATTATTAATTCATCACTAAAATATTTTTGTAAATAAATGTTAATAATTAATTTAGTTAATTTAGGTTTTAAATAAATAAAAAATATCTAGAATTAGGTTTTTGACATTTCATCTTTTTCTCAATTAAATTATTTTTCTCACTATTTATTATTATTGTTAATTTTTATTTTTGTAAATAAACATGTAAATTAATTAATTAGCGTAAATTAGGTTAACTTGGATATTTTCTTTAATAACTAAAAATAATCTAGAATTAGGGTTCCCATTTAATTTTAATTTTCTTTATTTTCATAAATACAAAAAAACCTAAAAATATCTTTATTTTCTTTAGTTAAATGTTAATTAGCTTTAATTTCAATTTAATTTCAAAAGGGTCAAAACCCTCAGACGTCCTAACTTTTATTCTTTCGCACGTTATTCTTTTTTCTTTTCGAATATTATGTAACTGCTCAAGGATTGTAATAGTAATTAGGTCTTTTTACTTTCCGCATTTTTACCAAATGGGTCTTTGTAATTTGGCGATGTATAGACCTGCGCCTTGTAATAGCGTAGCTTTATCTTTCCGCTTTTACTTTCCGCAATCTTAAACTCTAAATTGCATGAAAGAATGTATGGCTAATTAAAAACAAGCGTAGCTCACGATGCCATGATCAAAGATAAACTTAACATGAAAACAACACACAAATTCATACACCACTCTTAGGGTATGCCTCACCTGTTGCCTTCGAAACGTGGTCGTCAAGTATAGGACGTCTTAGTAAGTCCTTATGTCCATGATCCAGTTGCCTCGAAAAAAGTTGCCTCGGAATAGTTGCCTCGAAATGGTTGCCTCGGATTAAAAAAAGATCAAGGACATAAGGGTAGCTTCTAGGGTGTCCTAACTGTTGCTTCGGTGACCACATTGTCCCTAAACTCGAATTGACCCAAACACCTCCAACGGTGGTGCTACCTACCTCTCAATGGTGGGATGGCACTATCTTAAGGACATTTACACAGCCTAATTCCTTAGGGTAGGTAAATGACTCATGGATACTTGCTCTATTCAAAAACAAATCAAAAACCTTTTCACACTGACACTTTCAAAAAGCTTTCAAAACAATTTTTCAAACACTCTTGAGGACAGATACAAGAGTTATTCAGAAATCTTTCAAAGAAATTTTTTCAAACCCACTCACAATTGAAAAGCAAACATTTTGAAAACACAATGAGAAAGTATCTAAGAGCCCATGGATAACCATGGATAGAAAGGGTGCTAACACCTTCCCTTTCTATAAATCTACCTCCCGAACCGAGAGACATCTCGAATAAGGAATTTTGTTGTGCTTTTGTCCTGTCCATATTGGAGAAAATAAAAGACGGTGGCAACTCTTGCTTCCGCGATATTTCACGAACCAGCTTTAAACAGTCAGTTCTATTTCCACCGATCACAAAGGGATTCTACCTAAGTTAGCATACATGGTTCGCAACCTAAGGTCTAACTCGCATCTGATAAGAGCAAGCGCATCCTAAGGGAACATGGTATGTACAAGGATGAAGCAAGCAAGCCAGTAAACTCAAGAGAGAACACCTGAAGAAATCCTATCTAGGTTAGCATGCTAAAGAAAGTCTAACAAAACTATCTTATAGGGAACATGCAATGAGAGCGAAGTCGTGATCTCAATTTCTAAATTGAGTGACTCATCGATCAACAAGAAATAAAGGAAAGCGATAAAATCCTATAGGGAGCATGCACTGAGAGCGAAGTCGTGATCTCAATTTCTAAATTGAGTGACTCATCGATCAACAAGAAAGTAAACAAACATAAGCACAACACATATAGCAAATGAAGTGCGGAATGCCTGCTACAGGTCTTTAAACAGCGACTTCGAGTGCACGCTCTTTATTTCCTACTTCTTATGGTATCTAGAAAAGCGGTAAAGTGCGGAAATAAGGAATAAAATAAGGTTGCGATGATACCGAATGTAGAAAGTCCATTGCCTCTTCAAAATCACGCAAGCAATAAGGAAATTCCACCAAAGCTAATGGAGAAGGTTTGTTGCCTCTTCAAACTATCACAATTTTTTTACTAAAGATGACAATGAAAATGATTATTAAACATAATATAATAGAAAACTCTAATAAAATTCTAAAGAGAAAACCTAAAAAAATTCTAGGATACTCTATTATTTTTGTATTATTTTCATCATTAAAATCGTAAAAATTGAAACTAAAATTAAAACATGAAAAGGGAAAAGTAGTAGACAAAGGGGGTGTATTACTAATTCTAAGTGTTCAGCTCAACATCGCAGGCTAGGCCTAATTGTAGAATAAGATCCAATGCAGTTTTTTTTCAGCACCTAAGATGTCATGCTACCAAAAAAGATCAATGGGCCTGAAGAGGGGGTGCAGCTCGGCCCACATAATACCGCAACATGATCTAACTTGTTTATCGTTTTGTTTTTTGTTTAACCATTTTATTATTTATTTGAATAAAATAGAAAAAATAAAGAAGGAATTAAAATTGATTTTAAACAAAAACGCAACGTTTATGAGCTAGGTTAACCAAAAGATGGTTCAACTTCACAAGGAGGTCTAATATTCTTCTCTCTTTCATCGTGAACGGCGCTGCATCCACCGTCTCTGTTCGACCTTAAACCCCTAGCCTCCTCTTCATCCACCCCTCAAACTCTGATCCCGCTCGTTACCGTCAGCGATTCCGGTTTCAATTACAAATGCAAACCACACCATAAACCTCGTCTCACCTTCATCGATGCCGAGAAAATTCACCGTCTATGATTAATCCGCCTTCTCACTTCTGCCTATCATCTCTAACTTCACGATGAGAACAAATTCAGAACAAGAAATGGAGACGCGAAATAATGATATGCAAATATTACCAACCGGAGAACGTCTGGTGCTCCTTCAACTTGAGAAAGACGAGAAATCCAGTGATAAAGTAAGCCTTCGACTTAATACTTCTGTGATTTACTTCTTCTTTATTTCTTCTCCTTCAATTCGAGTTCTATGCATTTATGTGCGTGTGTTGGGAAATTGTTGTTGATTATTGTTCTCTGTGATGTTGATAGGTTATGGATGAAGATTGAAACCGTTGTTGATGTGTGAAGAAGATGAGATTCACGATGTTGATGTATTGAAGTTGTGCGTAGAGAAACTTGAAGGTGAACACAGAGGTTCAGTTGTCGATATCGAAAGATAGTGATGAGGATTGGATTGGTTGAAAGTTGCAGAGAATGATGAAGATGCCGATTCTTGAAGGTTGATGATAGAGAGATTGCAGTGAAGAGAACAATGGAGGAAGAGGATGAAGATTGAAGGGAATTATTGCAAGTTCAGGTGAGAATGGATCTGAGCTCTTCTGTATGCTCTCAATGAATCAATGATTTCCAAGAGAGAGAGGTTGGTGATTGAGGAATCGTGAAGAGAGTGATGAAGGATGTGCAACAGAATTCTTCAGAGGATAATTCTAGAGGTGATTTCTTTCTCTGTCAGTTTTCTGTGTGTTATATAATTGTTCTCTCAAAAATGAATCCTCCTCTTGTAACTCTCTGAATCTTCTATTATATAGCTCTGCTAGAAGTTTGTTAGAAACAGTTGGAAGGTTAGAGTTGAGCTCGGATTTGGTTAGATGTTAGTTAGAGAAATTAGTTTTTTTGTTATTGAAATTAGTTTTCTGTTGAGGAGTTTCGTTTAGGTGGTTGGATTTGAATCTTCTTTAATCATTTGAAGTGGGATGGCTGCTATGGGAGTTATTTCGTTATTTTTAGGAGCAGCAGCCAACTCTACCATTCTTGCACCTGTTTTCTTAGCGGTGTCTGCCTTGGATAAGGCCGCGATAATGTCAACATAGCCAGTCGCTATGAGGGAATTGACACAAGTATTCACATACAGATTTCCCTGATCATTTGTGCATGTAATGGTGCACATTGCCTTTTCACGATAATGACGACCATTATCACCAACCAGACATCTTATAGCCAGAAAAAGAATCTCAAATTCTCCCTTGCGGTGCCTGGGACCATTCGGAGTAAGAGCGGTAATTTCTGATACAGAATCGGACGCAGAAAATATGGTAACAGTTTTAGGATAATTTGCCACGGGTATATTGTATAGAACTTCTACCACATCCTGGCCGGCATTCAACACAATCACATGAGGGCTAAATTTTTCATCACTGATACCAGAAGTTGTTTCTGATGGTTCTTCTTTTCTCTTCTTTGATCCAGAACTAGAACCGGAACCAGGAGGGCGTCCTCTTCTCCTCTTGGTTGGAGTTTCTGCAGAAGATGTTAAAGAAGGTACCTCCTTTCTATTCTTTGGTGTTATGTTGGGTGAAGAATCCAATGGTGATTGCAGAAGTACATCATCATCATCATCTTCTTATTCTTCTTTATGATGATCGCTAGCGGAAGTACCAATCATATTTGTTGTTGCCGCGTTCTTATCATCCTCTTCCATTGTTGTACCACAAGAATAACAAATTTTGAAACTATGGAATGTGAACAAGAAGAGAGAGAGAGAGAGAGAGAGAGAGAGAGAGAGAGAGAGAGAGAGAGAGAGAGAGAGAGAGAGAGAGAGAGATGGGTTTGTGATTGTTGGGACTAATTTATTATTGAACTGATTTTTATTTTTGATTTACTAATTGAGTTTATGTGTATGTTTTCCTGAATAGGTGTATTGCTGAACCAGTTTAGATACAGGGCTTCCTCATGTTGCAGATTCTTGCTTTTTGTAGCAGCATGCTTCTATTGTGAAGTGATCACGAAAGGCCATGGCTATAATGCTCGAAGAGCATGAAAATCATATTGCTTTGGCCTAGCAATGTGGGTCGTCAATAATAGGCTTAAACATATTTGTATACTTTTCTATGCATGGTAATGGTATTTGTAACTCTTGGGCAGGATTCGAGTTGTGATTCATGGCATAATCAGTTTATTATTAAAGATTTAGTGAACATAGGTGTAGGATGGGATTTAGGATGGTATTGTAACTTTCACTTGAAGTTGTAATAGAATTTTGTAATAGCATGTATGAACTTTTATTTTGATGGAATTAATTGAAACATGAATGAACTTGGATGATCTTGAATGGATTTTTTGATGAAACCTGAAACATGAATGACATATTTGGACAAAGCCAAATTAGGCTAGAATCATAGCCAACATGGATGGAATTTGAATGAAGTAATTTGATTTTGATGGATGCAGATTGGCTGACGTGCCTTTCGTAATCCGAGGGTAGAAGATGATTGAACACTAGAGTGCCCAGAAATTTGCGCTCACATGGTAGCAGTGACGATGGAATGGGCTTATAGATGCCATTTGGAGATTGATGAATAGGATGATGGGCTTATAGATGCCATCTGGATGTTGATCGCGTAAGAGATTCCTTAGCGAGAACCTGCATACCTGCAAAAGAAAAAATGAGTACCTGACATGTTGCAGGAGTTGGTTTTCAGATGCTTGATATAGATGTGTCCTGACTGGTTACAGGAGCTGAGTCTGGAGCTTCAAAAAATGATGAATGAACCAGGGATGGTTACTATCTCAGCATGAACAGTGAGAGAACCTTGGGTGACTTTAACTTCAACAACGCTCGTTGAGAAAATCTTGGTGGGAATTACCATCTTCGCAGTATCGGGAAGAGAACCAATAGGCAATTATAATCTCAAAAGCGGACGTTTGAGAAGAACCTGGAATTGAATTATCATCTCACGCACCGTCGGGGAGAGAACCATAGGAAAGTATAATCTCAAAAGCGGACGTTTGAGAAAAACCTGAAATGGAATTATCATCTCACGCACCGTCGGGGAGACAACCATAGGAAATTATAATCTCAAAAGCGGACGTCTGAGAAAAACCTGGGATGGAATTATCATCTCACGCACCGCCGGGGAGAGAACCATAGGAAATTATAATCTCAAAAGCGGACGTTTGAGAAAAACCTGGGATGGAATTATCATCTCACGCACCGTCGGGGAGAGAACCATAGGAAATTATAATCTCAAAAGCGGACGTCTGAGAAAAACCTGGGATGGAATTATCATCTCACGCACCGTCGGGGAGAGAACCATAGGAAATTATAATCTCAAAAGCGGACGTCTGAGAAAAACCTGGGCTGGAATTATCATCTCACGCACCGTCGGGGAGAGAACCATAGGAAATTATAATCTCAAAAGCGGACGTCTGAGAAAAACCTGGATAACTTCTACTGAGTCTTCATCAGAAAAATCTGTTGGGAGTCGATTTAGCTGGACTAGAGAAGGCCTTGGACTGGATAAGAAATCTTTGGAGTCGATTAACTGAACCGGTCTAGGTCTTGAAATATGATTGAGAATTTAGCTGAATTTTTCCTGAAAGGTAAAGGTCAGTCATATGCGATGCATGATATGGATCAAGCAATGATGTTCTTAACATAAATGAGATTTGTATGATATGATGCGTCTATGCATGCTATAATGATGTATGTGATGTTTTATGAATGCGTTTTTCGTCTAGGAAAGTAAATCCTTGACGGGTGCCGGGAAGTCACTCCTGGGCTGATGTTGAAGAATAGATTTTGCTTCCGTTGGGGATAATAGCTGCAAGAATACCGATAGGAGAAGATAACTCCGTTGGGGAATAAACTTGGCGAATGGGATAACTCTGCGGGGAGAAAGATACTTTAACGATCTTGCTGGGAAGCAATACTCTGTGGGGAGAAAGATACTTTTGCTGAGCGTTGATAGTAACTTGCTGGGGATACCCTTGTTGTGCTGGAAGTGCTGATGGACTTCGCTGGGGGTAAGAGAACTTCGTCGGGGATGCTCTTTCCATGGTTTTTGGCTGAGAATAACCCAGTTATATCTTGTTAAGGAAATAACTCTTTGAATAAAGCCGGACGACGCGTTCGTGCTCTGCGAGGGATAAGCTTCCAGAATCTACTGGGGATAAGCTTACCGCTTGGGGAGATGAATTCCAACTTTCCTGGGGAACTAGACTGGACTTTCCTGGGGAAGTTTTGATATGCTGGGGAAGTGATTCCTTTGAATGTTGATATGCCGCCGGGGAACAATCTTTAGACCAAGACTTCCGGGGATACTTGTTATGAGTATGTACGCTGCTGGGGAAGTATTGAGATCTACTGGAGGATACTCAACTTCCTTGAGATTTGATAACTCTGCTTGGAGAAGAATGCACTGACTACTGACTTACTCTATGGGGAATTAAGATGTACCGATCATGTTCTTTAGCTGAACCTACCTTGGTACCTTAGAGGTCAGAATAATTAGATTGCTTAGACAACTCTTTATTGCCCCTGTTTCTAGTGTCACCTGTAATTAATCCTTTGTTTCATATGCAAATATTTATGAGTTAGCAAATTATTGTCAATGCATATATCACAAATTGAACCTTGGACGTTCTTCGCAAAACAAAACAGAAAAAAGACAAACAATTGGCACTTTTAACTGAAAAGTATATTTGCATTGATTTTTGAATGGCCTGAAAATAGGCGTTTTGTGTACAAAGGGGCTGACGTCCTAGTAAGAGAACGTCGCCGAACAAAAGAGTTTATACAAGTTTTGTACAAAATAAAACAGCTGTGTGAAATGAATGATCCCACTGGGTTTCAACTCTGCTATTGCTTTTATAACTCCGAGCGTCTCATCACTTGATGACCTAAACGAAGCTGAAGCTGACTGATCGATGCCGTCTGAACTTGATGTAGATACCGGATTCTGGATGCGAAGTGATCCAATGAGACATAGTATTACGCTTTTATCCCTAATTTTTGCTTGGACCGCCCTTTCGGGTTTTCAGTCCACCGGGATACCCATTTTTGCCCAAGCCGCCTTTTCAGGTTTTCGACTTGCCGGGTGTACAGATTTTTCATTTCATCCCTTCATTTTGCCCGAACCCTTTTGGTTCGACGGGAAGCCCTAATTTTTGCCTAGGCATGTCAGCCTAGCGGGTCTTTTTATTATGCGTAGTATCTTTTTACTATGTCTGCATTGGCGGGGTGAGGAAGGTCGTCACCATCCATGTTGGTCAATATCATTGCTCCTCCTGAGAACACATGTTTAACCACAAATGGCCCTTCGTATGTAGGGGTCCATTTTCCCCTTGGATCACTCTGAGGAAGGATGATTCGCTTGATTACCAGATCCCCAACTTGATATTCCTGTGGTCTGACCTTTTTGTTAAATGCTCTGATCATCCGTTTCTGATACGTCTGACCATGGCAGATAGCAGCAAGTCTCTTTTCATCAATGAGGTTTAACTGATCAAGTCGTGTCTGGATCCAATCATCTTCGTTCAGATTTGCATCCTTCATTATCCGGAGAGAGGGTATTTGTACTTCGATTGGTAAGACTGCCTCCATACCATAAACCAAGGAGAAGGGAGTTGCCCCGGTTGACGTCCTAGCTGAGGTACGGTACCCATGTAGAGCGAACGGTAACATCTCGTGCCAATCCTTATAAGTCACTGTCATCTTCTGCACGATTTTCTTGATGTTCTTATTTGCTGCTTCTACAGCCCCATTCATTTTCGGTCTGTAAGGATAAGAATTGTGGTGCTGTATCTTGAACTGCTCGCAGAGCTCAGCGATCATCTTGTTATTCAGATTGGTACCGTTGTCTGTAATAATTCTCTCTGAGACGCCGTACCGACAGATCAGGTTATGCCGAATAAACCGTGCCACAACGGTCTTGGTTACCGTAGCATAGGATGCTGCTTCGACCCACTTCGTAAAATAATCAATCGCCACTAGGATGAAGCGATGCCCGTTAGACGCCGTAGGTTTAATCTCACCGATCATGTCTATGCCCCACATCGCAAACGGCCAAGGCGCAGTCAGAACATTCAGGGGAACTGGAGGAACATGCACCTTGTCTGCATAAATCTGGCACTTATGGCAAGTCCTAGAATGTTGGTAGCAGTCAACTTCCATTGTGGACCAGTAATACCCTGCCCGAAGAATCTTTTTAGCCATAGTGTGTCCACTGGAATGTGTACCAAAGGTCCCTTCATGTAGCTCTTCCATGATCCTTTCTGCTTCAGTCTTATCCACACAACGCAGTAAGGTTGAATCATGGTTTCGCTTGTACAAGATGCTGTTGCTCAGGAAGAACTTTGCTGCGAACCTCCTCAAGAATTTCTTATCATTGACAGATGCACCTTCCGGGTATTCCTGAGTTTCCAAATATCTCTTCACCTCATGGTACCAAGGCTTCTCAGTCACCAATTCGGTCTCGAGATCACAACAGTATGCCGGTTCGTCCAGTTTCCAAATGATGATCCGGGGAGCCTCATTATCCCATTTAACTTTGAACATAGAAGACATTGTAGCTAACGCGTCCGCCAGCTGATTCTCTTCTCTTGGAAAGTGCTCAAAGGTTATCTCCGTGAAGTGGGGGATCAAGGTCAACACACATTCTCTGTAAGGAATAAGGTTCGGATGTTTCGTATCCCACTCTC